AAGATAAATAGTAAAGTCATCGCGCGGCTAAATGCGTTAGAACGAAAGGTAACCGCAGCAGTTACACCCGACTTTTTTGCTACGGAATACCGGCAATTGCGTCGGCGTTACCTGTTGCTGCAACGCAAATGCAAATGCTTGGAAGTGCAAGTCCTAGGAAAGCAAGCCGCGCATGGCGACAACGCTGTCGCATCGTCGATAAGCGCTACTAAGACGCCCACAAAACAGCAAGCGCCAGTGTGCCAGTCTCAAACTCGCTTCCGCTGTCTCGTTTGCCATGGGCACTACAAGAGCATCTACCACCTGCTGCGTCACAAGCGTACACGTAGACATTGGCCGCAACGCGCAACCAAATATTTTGCCGCTACCTGCTGTGGCTGCGAGAAATTCTTTCGACACAAAATCGCACTGCGCAATCATATGCGCTACATTTGCCAAGCGCTCCCACTGTGCTGGTTCAAATCGCAAATGCAAACATTCAAGTGCCGCTGCTGTCGGCGCAGCACTTTCAATCATTGGCGTCTCTATCGCCGGCACGAAGTCAAATGCAAATCAGCTAGGCAACGCAAAAAACAAGCAAGCGATAATCGTGTCCGTGGACGCAGCAATCGTGCCAGAGGAAAAAGTAAACAACGCGCCGTGAAAGCGTCCCCCTTGTCGGGTGCGCGTAAAACCCTAGGCGACGCGCCCACACCAGCTGCTTCAAAGCAGAAGCATTCCGCAGCTTTGGCGCGTGAATACACGTGTCCTGTATGCGGCAAGGCTTTCGCCTCAGCCAACAGCCTCAACCAGCACAGCATCACACACACTGATCAGCGGCGGCATATGTGTCGCTTATGCGATCGCGCCTTCAAGCGCCGCAATGGACTTATGCAGCATGTGCGCGGTTATCATCTGCAGCTAAAGCCACATAAGTGTACGGTATGCCAGCGCTCTTATGCGTTGAAGAGTGATATGCTGCGTTGTCGGCATGCGGCAGTTAAGCGCGCAGTGGGCGCTGGTAACAATACATTGCCTGTGAAGAACGAAGACGCCAGCAGCGCAAAGTAATTTCTATGTGCAGTCAATGGCATGAATGAAGTATTGCATTTTTTTTTATCTACGTTAAGCGGTGAATGTGTGGAAGATACTAATATTGGTCCTTTCATAGATTAAATATGTGTTTTCCGTTTTTGATTAATAAACAATAAGTAGTACTGTAAGTGAATTGCATTGGTATTAAATATTAAATTAAGTTCGAATAAGTTAAATATATTACCATTAATGTTTTGAATATAACAAAGTTCTTATTAGTCTGAATCGGCACCTAAAGGTATGCAACACTCTAAAATTAAACCGGAAGTTATACATTCAGTAGATGTGCGTAGCTGTGACTGTAGCACTTGCACTGTTGCCTGTTGTGCTTCCATGGGCGCCTGGTAGAAAACGGAACAGAAAAGTGTTTATGTTATGAACTTAACGTAACTTACGGCTCTCTCTGAAAAATTCTGTTAAATGGGTGTTGCTTATAATTGAACAGCCGAAACTTAACGTAACTTACTGCCACTTCGAAATCCGCTTCATTTTGATTCTCTAAGTTCTACGTTCCGTTAAGTTAAGTTGCCATAATCAGGCTTTTACTGAAATACACGTTTCACTTTTTCATTCCTGACAAGTCAACTATTATGATCCGATGTAAAAATATTTAAATTTTATGTTAAAAAAAAACCGCTAAAGAAAAGATAGAGGCACTGGTGGCACTGGTTGGTCAATGGATATGTTCACAGTGTCCTTCGAACTCCTCCTGATGAACCGGACACAATATTAAGGCACATCATCACCCTTATGAAAATTGTAAAAAGACTTTTCGTTTGGCCTCGGGGAAAAAAGTTTGTAAAGGGTCCTCTTAGATTTCTCTATGACCGCTGCTTTTACTATCGCTTTTGCCTCATGCCAAACTAATTTCGAAGCGTGCATTGAAAAAATAGAATTGAATTAACTTTTTGGCTATTTGCGGGAGAATTTAATAGACGGTTAGTTAAGCATATACAGACCGATTCTGAACAGAAACTCCCGGGAGTTTTCCCCCTTTTCCCTTACCTCCAATCATGAATAAAAATTCCCCCGAGGATTTTTTATGTTAAATGTACGATATACTTTTATTAAAGGGTTTTATTATTATGTAATATTCAATTTTTATTGCTGCTAGCATAAACTTTAAATAATTAAATATACAGACATACATAAATAGTATTTTAAAATATTTATTAAGCTTGGTGGTTATTTTAACATATAGTACATTACATATACATACATGAATACATATTTATATTAGTTAGAAACTTACATCATAAGCTTGGTCATGAAAATAAATTTTCTCATAAAACAATTTTTAAAAAATAATTGCAACATAAAAAATAAAAAAAAAAATTGCAAAAAAATTTACTTTTTAAATAATAATTTGATATTTTCGATATTTTTTTTTTAATTATTCAGTACATATAGTTGACATTTTAATGCTACTGGGGAAAAATTTAACTTTCAACACGCTGGCTTTTTTACTGCTCTAAATAAAATTTAAGAACCATAATTAGTTTTTCTTCAAATTTAAATTCGCTAGTCAGAGTTATATGGAGTTTCCACCACGGTCAAATTGCGCAATTTCCATCGTAAATTACAATTTGAAATTAAAGCTGTTTACACGACCATCTTAATTTCAATTTCGGTTATTTTTTTTTCGGTTTGGCTGCTTTGTTTATATTTGCGTGTTATTGAGGTTTGTTTTTTAGTGTTGTATTCGCTAAGTTGAGGCAATTTTGTACGCCGAAATTGAGAATCGTATGGCGACTCCAGCTGAAATTGAGAACAGTGTCGAAAGCGCGCAATTTGGGTGTTGTGGAAACTGCCTATTATTTAAATTTGTTTCTTGCCACTCAATGTCTGGTTAACACTAATCTCCGGTAAAACATCGTTATCGACGTTACCGACTCCATGTTATATGCATGGAGTCGAACACGTCGAAAATGATGTTTAAACGGAGATTAGTGTTAACCAGACATTGAGTAACCGGCCCTAAATGCTGTACGCGTGTATGTATTTATAAAGGTGATGTTTACGTCTATCTGTTTTCGACTCACTAATTTTTGACTCGCGAGCAGAAATGTAACTCGCGAGTTAAGAATTTTCTTGCTTAACACTGAAGTCATGAATTTAAAAATTAGACATTTAGCAAATTTTATTTGTTTTTCAAACGAACGCCTGTACTTGAAAATATTTCACATATATAAAATTAAGGTTTTTCCACAAACAAAAAAAAAACATTAAAAATGAAATAAAATTAAAATAAAAAACAAATAAATTTACCAAATAAAAAAATGGCACAAAAAAACAAACTTACTTTAAATAAACCACAATTCAAAAATATTTGCCTGCCTACATACAATACAGAAAAATATTGCGAAAATCCCAAAACGAAAAAAACGGCTCGCAAATAATAACAAATGACCTATACGGAAATTGCTAATTGTACGGTAATAAGTATTATTTGTGTATAATTAATTCTATATAGTGCGTATTATTGCTTGACACAAGTACATACATACAACTAATTGCTTATACTAAGCGGCTACGATTTTTTTTTCAATGTTGCTATGCTTGCTTTAACTGTTTTTTATATTTTTTTTTTACTCTATAAAATTGAATTGAATTGCTTATGGATATTAGGGCGCAAAACTCTTTGCAAAAAGAAAAATCGAATTTGAGCTTCAGCAGAATTTGTAAGGTCGAAATTTTTTCCGAAAAAAAATTTTTTGCACAAAATTTCACACCCAAAAAGGTTAAGTGCATTTGCACCAAATTCCGTTGCTTTGCTTAATATGTACAAAAAAAAACCGTTAGAAAGCAGCTTTTATATAAAATTTGCATTTTACAGTTAAATGTACACAAAAGAATTGTTTATTTGCATTTTTTTCATACAGTAGTCGAGTCCAAATTTTAGGCAATGCTATGCAATTTTCTTGACAAACGACTCGCAATGAGGTCGATTATTATTGATTTTTGAGTCGCGAGTCGAAATGTTAAATTCACGCGTACAAAAAAAAAATTGATATTGCTGATTTTGGGTACTTTCCTACTGATTTAAGCTCGCGTGCCAAAAGAAAAATATTAGATGCAGTTGATTTAATTTTTTTATTTTTTTGGCCTACATTTTTTGGTGTACTCCTTTTGTTTTTGAAATGCTACTACTTTTTTCGGAGCGTTGAAATTTAAAATCCTACAGATTTTTTCTTTAGTCGGACATGCTTTTTTTTGGCTCGAGAGCTGAAATGTAAAATCAAATTGAAATGGGTGATAAAATTTAAGTGGCTTTTTTAAATTCGCGATACATTATTTGGCTCGCGCTTTGAAATGTATAATTTGAAATGAAATAAATAACTAACTAAGGAGTAAAAAAATAAAAATCAATGGATTTTTTAGAATTACTCCTTTTGTTTTCGACAGCCACGACATTTTATGGTATGCCAGTAAAATTCGAGAGTCCAAAATTTACGCGATTTTTGTTTTTCATCTAGTACTTTATTTTTTCTTTTTGTTTAGAATCGAGAGTTGCAATATAGAACGTATAAGTTCAAAATGTTTTGGTCATTGTTTCTGCTTAAATTTTTATATTTTATCCTTTTTTTACTTGAAATTTTTTAATTTGAAATTAGCGAGTGATACAATTTTTATACTTATTTATTCGTATTCACGAGTTGAAATATTAAATTCACGAGTCGTACAAGTTTTTTTTATATTTAAATTTTTTTTATTCGCGAGTTGCATTTTAAAATTCGCAAGTTATAAATATTTTTTGTGCTCGCGAGTTGAAATTTAAAATTTACGAGTCGCAGAAGTTTTAGAGTTTTTTTTATCTATTCTATTTTACTCGTGAGTTCAATTTTTAAATTTGCGAGTTGTGAAAGCTTTTTTTATATTTAATTATTTATACTCGCGAGCTGAAATTTGAAATTCGCGAGCCATAGAAGTCGCGAGTCTTCGAATTTTTAAACAGTTTTTATTTATTTCCTTTTTTACTCGCGAATTGAGACATAAAAGTCGCGAGTATTTATTTCTGACAATTATTAGAATTAGAAAATTTTCGAATTTTTTTCAACACAAATATTTAAAATGTATTTAAATATGCTCTCGTTGTCGACTTTTTAAATGGAGAAAATGCAACCATGCGCACGAACGAACAAATTCACTGAATAAAAAAAAAACATAGAAAAACATCACCGAATTTCAAAAAACACTTTGAATTTTTTGCGAGTAGTTCAGCTCTTTGGTGCTCGTCAAAGTGGTAAAAGCTCACCACTACGCTAATTTGCTTTAGTCTGGCTTTTTTCAATAAAGTTGTAAATTAAAAATTTCGAAAGTGAATTGATACGAGTACGAACCTCTTCACGTTTATAGGGTAAGCATTGCTATAGTCTACTTTTAGGCTTTATACCTTACACCACCCTAAGCAAAGCAATTAAATTTGGTGCAAACGCTACTATTTAAATGGTTGGTGGGGATTTAAAACTAACAGGCGCTTTTCGTATGTATATAGTTTGTATATGTATGCGCACACAATTTGGTATCAATACTTGCGTAGAGAAAAGTAGTTATGCACTTTAATATTTACTTATGTTATATTGTTAGGGTTATTCCCTGAAAATTGGCGCAAAAGACTCGAACTTTCTATATTATTTACTTTCGCATTTCGAGTTTCCAATTTTTACGAGTTTAAGGGAATACCCTAATTAATTAATTATTTCGGGTTTTTCTTGTAAGCTTGCTTTGCGTAAAATTATTAATAGTATTTTTTAGTAATTGATGCTTATAAAATATTTATGCGATATGCGATGTGTGTGAGTGATTCTCTTCTCTTCGTATACAACTTCCTTCGCGTGTTTTCTTTCTTTTAGTTTTCATTTGTTTGCTATGATTCTAAAACACATTTCCATCTTCCGTCGTACATACGTTGCTGCTAATGTTCTTAAATGATGTGCTTGCTTACAAATCTACAAATTGTTGATGATAAATCTTAAATGTTTTCTAAAAACTTTCCCCTTCCGTTCCCCGCCAAAACGTACTACGCGCAATCAATCGATTTATTGTTTTTTGTTTTACTGAAAGATCGCTGCACGCTGTTGAAATTGCAAACGCCTATTGGCGCGCTCTTCTTCTTCGCGACGTCGCTCTTCCTGCTCCTGTCGTATCTCATCGTGAAATTTATTCGAACGCAGTTGTTGTTCAATTTTAGCTTCGAAGAAATTTTTCGCGCCGGTAACACCCACCTCCTCTACATTGATTTCGGTGAGTCGTGCTAGCTGATTGAGACCCGAATCGTTGTCGAGTTCTCCGGCTTGCGCCTTGCGATAGATTAGCAGGAATTCACGGAATGAAATTTTACCATCGTGATCCTCATCGACTTCGGCAATCATTTGCTTGAGACCCAAGTGAGTTTGTGGTGCGCCCAATTTTTCCATCATGAATTTCAATTCAGTCAAATCTAGGTAGCCATCATGACCGACGTCATATCTGGAAGTAGAAAAAGAAGAAGAAACGAAATTGAAATTAATACTCGAAAGTGTGGAGGCTTAGAGGAAGAGGCTTAATTTAGAGACATAAATTAAAAAAGTGTATATAAAATTAAAATTATATTGCTGCAAGACGACTACAGTTGTTGCAGCCATTTTTGCAGTAAGTAAATTATCGCAACTTCGTCAAATAAAATGCATCCCAAACCTTTGCCAGGTAAAGAAAATCGTCAGCCAGGCAAACCTAACCGCACGTGCAGCCACTAATTGACGAATTGAAGCGACACAAACAGAGACGTATTGCAAAAAAAAAAAGAAACAAAATTGACTAGAGAAAGGCGAGACTGTCTATACCTAGATATATATGTACATATGTAATTTTTAAACAAAAGTATGTATTAGGGCGACTCTTAAAAATTGAACATCTAAATTTTGTATGGGGCACCCTTTTATTTGGTTCAGCATACAAAAATACCTCCACGAAAATTAAAAAAAAAAAATTTTAAAAATTGGGTTCTGCCAGCCATAGTGGGAAATTTTGGACTGCTTTTATTTAAAACCGGCTGGAAGATAAATTTTTTTTTTCCAAATTAAATATTATTTTTTTTTTGATAAATATATTTTGAACGGGTTTTAAAAACGATTGTCTACGCCCGATTAAAAAAAAAAGATTGTATTTTTTATGAGCATACGGTGAAAGCCTAAAAATATTTGTTCCGTATATTTTTTTCTTTGCGAGCAGCCGCCATATTGAACTGGCCATTTTTAATTACGCGATTCTGTCATCAGAACAGTATATTCAGTTAAGCCAAAACCCCCTACAAAAAATGCATAAGTTACGAATTTTGGTTAGCAAACGCAATATTGGATCGCATGAATAAAAACTAAGCAATTGTTTTTTCTTGAAATTTGAGACCTTTTACCCGATTTATTCAAATAAATAAAAGGTCTGACATATTAAGAATTGTTCAGTTTTATTCATACGACCCATTGGAACGGCCATTTGGAATTTTACGATTCTATTAGAATCGAAATCAACGACCTCAAAAATGTTTTTGCCAACTTTAAAATCTGAAATTTGTCACCAATAAAATCTTACTTATATGAAGTTTGATGGTTTCTTAAAATACTGTAAATTTTGACATATAGTGATAAAAATATCAATAAAATTTGTTTTTCAAATCAGGCCTACACAATCATTTCTAAAATCCGTTGCAAGTATTTAAAAAAATATTAAATTTATTAAAAAACTAACTCGTCCAGTAATTTTTAAACAAAATCAGGTGAAACTTTCCCACTGTGCTGGGACTCGAAAAATGTTTACTTAATTTCAAAAATTGCAAAAATTCGACAAAATTTTGATTTGAAATCTGATAAAATTTGACAAATTTTTGAAAGTTATTTATATAAATTCATAAACTCGCTGAGTTATAGCTAATCTAAATTTCCAAATTTAATAGAATTTTTAACATTAAAAAATGAAATTTTTTCTAGCCCTAATTTTTTCAATTTCTTAATTTTCGTTGAAGTCTCTATTTTACACGTAAAACAAAATTAAGTCATACCCCATTATGTTGACATTATAAGTACCACCCTAATACCTATGAATGTTTACTGTGCCCAAAAAAAAAAATTTACTGCAATTTGTAAATGAAACTGCTGATTTGTGAATGCTTGAATAATTGTGGTTCAGGCACAACAGTTGCACTTATTTTATAGCACATTTCGTTGCACTATTTGTGCTGAATTCCAACAATAAAGGGAGAAACAAAAACTCAGTAAAGCCAATGGACTGACGAGCCTATTAAAGCGTAAAATTTGTCATAGTGAAATTTCAATTTGAAATTATTTAGCGAAAGTTTTAGTTTATTTAATGTTAATGCAAGCAATTGGAGACATGAATGGTATGCTAGTAGTAATCAGGAGCAGAATAGTAGGAGAAAGTGGCAACGTACCAAAATTGTAGAATAAAGGACTGGGTGGCGACGAAGCCGGCATTCAGGCAAAGTTGCCCATCGTAAGTACTTAAGTCCTACAGAAGGGATAAAAAGGGTGAAACAGGTTAGTATAGAAAATCATTACTCCTCCGCAAACTTTGTAGTTTCTTTGATTAATCTGAGTAATCTGTTGAGTGAAAGAGTAAGTAACTCGAAAATGCACCATCTGAGTCTAAAGAACGTCTTATAGGCGCAGAGAAAAGACACTCTACTAAATATCCTGATCTTCTAAAAGAAATATATACACATCTATGATACCTAAGGCATCCAAGGATCCATAGAGGTTGGAATAAAAATATAGAACAGTATCGTCGAGAGGAACTAATGCATATCAGAAAACATTTGGTTGGCGTACATCAGTATTGCATCATGCATCGGTTCCCATTGATCTTTCCTTAAAATCGTTGATGTCTTTAAGGTATTTAAGTCTTGGAGCCGTCGGCATAGATGGGTTTTACCGAGTACTCTCTTCCAAAGGATTGGGGCCAAAAACAAAGAGTATTGTTCTTACGACTTTGTAACCACTTTTTGCGGCCGGAAGTCCGATCGTCATGCCACAATCTTAAATACTGACGTCGATACAACGCATACCTACGCGGTCCTCTCGCTAGGTTAGGACCCAAAAAGGGTTGCCACCTGTTAAAACATTTAATTCAAATAAAATAAACGAATTATTACGATATGGGTACCCATCGAAATGATTTTGAAAAGGATTTATTAATAAACTACATGTAGTAGGGTTGCCACCTGTTTGAAAAATCAAATTCAACTGGAATTAGGTGAATTATTGAGTTGTAATATGAAACAGGCTTAGGCTTAAGAAGGTTATAGTTTAAAAATATGTTTATAAGGGTTGCCACCTGTTTGAAAAGTCGAATTCAATTCAATTATACACAAGTTATATGAAATATTAAAATATGGGTGTCAAGCCAAAGTGTTAAACAAATTTTAGTTTGAAAATATAGAATATATTTTCAGGTGTTCTAAGAGGGTTGCCCACTGTTCAAAAATTGAATTCAATTTTATTTAACAAGTTAAATAAATTATTACAATATGGGTATCAATCGAAATGTCTTTGAAAAGCCTTAATTCCTAAACTAAATGTAGGAGGGTAGCCACCTGCTTGAAAAATCAAATTTAACTAGAATAAAAAACTTGAATAAAAATATCTATCACATATGTATGGGTGTCTGACGAAAGATGTTATAGTTTGCAAACCTTTAGAAGATTGTTTAAGAAAAAAGTGTAAAACTCCAATGTTTTTGGTTGAGTTTAGTTTAAGTATGTAAGTTTTATTGAAGTAAATTATATCTAATGTAACTCAGCGAAGCAAATTAGTAAATACTTAAATGCAAGTTTGTACCAAGTGGAAACCACATAAGACGACACGAAACATAATAACAGTAATTTATGCAATGCAGGAAAACCAACATCAACAGGGAAATGATACTTGATGGCGGTGGTTGGTGGTAAAATAAAATTTAAAGAAAAATATTGTACAAAATACAAACACAAAATTGCAAATATGTAGAGGGAAATTAAGCGAATTTCTGTGGTGAAGCGCAGACAATGTGTTAACGTTTTTTTGTTTTTATTTCTAAATATAATCGACAGGCATGGCACGCGGCCATTAAGCGGTGTAGGCTGTATGTATGTGCATAAATTTTGTGGGCTTGTAAGAAAAAAAACGCAATAAAAATACTTCGTAATTGAATTAAAATTGCAAGTAAAAATATAGATATGCACATAAAAAAGCATGTGCACAAAGAAACAAAACAAAAATTACAACAAAAACGATGGAAAAAACATAACAAAATAGACTAGGTAGAAATATGCACAAATAAACGGCGCAAATGCGGCGCAGGCAACTGTGAAAAAGTGAAGATGCGCAGTCGTGTTTGCATGCCACCAGACAATCGAGCTGCAGACGCAGAATCAATAATAACGCAAGACAAGCCAAGCGAGTTGTGCTTTTGTTGACTCAGAAAAACAGGTTCACGCTTGACTTAAAAATAACTAGATGCACAACAGCGACTGAAGTGAGGAGGTGCGCGCCGCGCCGCCAATGCGAAAAACCAGAAGGATATACTTGCCGCACAGACAAGGTTAACAAAAAAAAAAAACAACAACTACAATAAAACAGACATTACATATTGCACACGAAACTATAAATGCATGTACAGTTGTCCACCAAATAATAGGAGTGCGATATTTTGATCATTTTTGGCTATTTGTCTTTTGTTTATTTAGTGTTTATTATTTTTTTGTAAAAGTCTAGCTGGTTATACAGCAAACACCATATGAATTGAGATTTCAAACTTAGTGCAAGTATTATAAAAATTTCGCAATTTTTCACCCAAATTTCAAATTTTTTAATAAGAATCTTTAGAAAAAATCTTAGTATAAAGTTTTGTAGCCCATTCTAGTATAATGCAGTGCAAGTTTCAAGTTTCTAAGAATTTTGTTGATTTTTGAAATATTTTTGGTTGAAGGTCTTTCACGTTTTTTCCACACAGTGCATGTTCGACCATTTTCTTTTATATGGAGGACACTCACTGGCAGCAAAAAACTGCCATTGTACTAGAATTAAATGTGCTACAAAACTGCATATCACAATTTTTTCTAGAGGTTTTGATAAAAAAATTTTGAAATATAGGTGAAAATTTGCGAAATTTTTATAATTTTTATACAAAGTTTGAAATCTGAATTTATGCGGTGTTAGTTGTATAACCAGCTTAACCTTTATAATAGATAATAAACCGAGACCGAAACAAATTTGAAGAACGAAACCAAAACCGAAACCGAAACCGAAACCGGAACGTTATTTTGAATCGGTTTCATTGCTTGATTAAATTAACAAAAGGCAAGTGACCAAAACCGTTAAAAATATCGCACTCCTATTATTTTGTGGCCAACTGTAGTATGTATGTATGTATGCCTACAGCAAGCAGGAAAAACCAGTTGTTGTTGGAAAAAGGAATTTTGCACTTTTGCAGTTTATGTT